AAGGGGTTAGAGGAGCCCGTCTGCATTATCCGCGCCGACGTGTTTACCATCGTCGTTTCACCCGCGTCACGGTACCGGCTTTTTTCTTACTACTTTTTTCCCCCGTCGACATTCCCCGATATAATTTATAGCGATATCGCTCCGACGCCAATCGTAAACAGGGTATAAGACCAGCAAGAACGGATGTATCCAAGTATGTTAACTATCACACGCCCCGATATTGCGGCCGTGCGAAACCTCACGGACGGAACATCATCATTATCACGCGCGACACGCGAGAACCGAAAGGAGGATTTCACCGGGTCCCGGTTATCTCGAGCATATAAAACGGGGTCGCATTCTATGCCACGATATCGCATGGGGGTTAATGCGAAGTTAATCTTGCACGGGCTCGACGACGACGCCGCCGCCGACGATGCCGTCGCCGCCGCCGCATGCGGCACGGGTTTCCTGACCTAGCGCGCAGAAAACGACAACCGTTGCCCCTGATTTACCTTTAATGGCTTTTAATGCCTTCCCGTTGGAGGTACGAGCGGTATTAGAGTGGTTGGTGGTGGGGAGGGAGGAAGGGGTGGGCAACCCGTCCCTCGTAGTTTTCTTTCCACATCGAAACTCCGCGGCAAGAATTATGAGCTTCCGGCGCTCTCGGGCGTCTTCCGCGAGAAATTTCGATCGGGGTCCCGTGAATGTTTCCACTTTTATGTTTCTCTTTCTTGTATCGCCATCTTTTTCAACGGTATGTCGCGACGCTCGGCGACACTCGTCCACATTCTGAAGAGCAATCAGCGTATTCTTCACCAAAATATTATATTTATAACTAATGATTTAACAGATATCGGCAAAATCTCGCTGAAAGGTTAACAGCGACGACTGTTTACCGTCGTTAACGTGGTTTGCGAACGAAAACTAATGTCACATTGCGGAACTTGCACGAAGGCTGTTAATTCTATCACCACGAACGCAGAAAATTGGATTTGGCACAGCGCGGAACGAATTTGTGTCTTACAGATTTGACATCTTCTAGAGAAATTTCAGTTTGGCTAACTGAATAATGCCTTTATTACTGTGACCAAAAGCATTTATCCAAATATATAGTTGTGTTGAAACTAGATTGAGATAGCCAATTGGCCGAGCAGAAACCTTTCACAGGAATCTTTCTGTTCCTTTCTTTCGCCTGGTCCCCAAGTAACGGAAAATTTAGCTACACTAACAGAGTTCTTTTTTCCGTGCAGAATTAGATAGATATACGATGGATGGCAAAGTGTTTCCACTGGAAATCGGCGAATACTCATCGAGTATCAGTGAAATGCTGCTTTTCCAATCAGAAATATTTTTACTGATTCACCTCCAGACCTGCATTAATAGTTTTCACTGAAAACTCATCGAGATATTCGGATTTTTATTCGGAGTTCGATCCACAGAGTTTTATCCGTCGAATTGTATAATATACGTGACATTTATATCAGTAATCGCGATTCAACTGAAAAAAGCTCTCATCTAACTCTGAATTCAGATCCGAGTGTCCCACTTGAGACGAGTTTCAAATAGTAACCATTCCTTTAATAATACGGTGCCTTGCACTGCGATTGCGCGGGGAATTGCTCGAGTCCAATGAAACTGCCGGTCGTTTGGATCAATTGACGTCATCGATAATCGACGTCATCTCGACGAAATATCTTTTATAACGCAATATGCATACTGTCGTCTCCCCGTTTCCTAGAAAATTAGTTGCACCCCCTTGCGATTTCTTTTCGCCCCTAACTTGAAGGTATCGTATTTTCATCATCGCGTCGCCGACGATAACACGGCCGATACTTTTGTTTCAGGACTCTGCCAGCAGGACGCGGTGCACATTACGGCTATCCTCGGCGAGAGCGTTGTCTTCAACTGTCACGTAGAGTTCCCCGGTGAGCACCCAGTGCCCTACGTTCTCCAATGGGAGAAGAAGGTAGGCGACACGGTACGATATCGGACGACACCCTCTGCTCTCTATATCCGTGAGTTAAAGACGGGGGCACTGCTCGAGAACGCTACGCCTCTGGTATCGGCAAAGAGCCGCTGGTGTTCTATCGCGACGATTTAAGCGACGTTCCAAGAGAATCGCTCGACGTCACATCGAGCGAAAAGTCTCGTTTCGCTTCGCTTCTTCGGATACGTTCGAGCAATCGATGCATAAAATCGCAAGCACACCCGCCGACGCCATTAACACCCCCACGAAGCTTACCGTTTTATCGAGAGTTCCTGCAATAGCACGCTATAATTTCGCATTATTGCGCGATGTGTACGCTACAAGATAACGAGTACGATACGAGTAACGCGGGAAAATATACGACGCATCCCCAGATCGTTGCTTAATCGGGAGAGAAAGAGAGAGAGAGGGGGGGGGGGAGGAGATCGCACTCTCTCTTTCTCTCTTCGTGAAATATCCTCAATTTCTTCGACTGGAAATCCACTGAAATCGTCGCGCCGCTCTCGCGCAGTTCACTACTCAACGCGCGCTCACTCCCGCGGAAAGAAATTTGCACTTCCGAGACTCCTTTTTTAATTCCCCGATTTAACGTTGCATAATCGCGAACTGGAGCGTGAACAAGCAATACGGTAGCGCAGCACGCGTGCGTCTTGTCCCGCGAGGTAAATGAAAAAAAAACAGTTATTCCTATAAATTCCCCCTTTCGACGTTGCTGTTTACCTTTGCACTTTGTTAACGACGATTGATAGTCCGAACAATGCACACCGGCACGATAATGACGTCGTCGGGGAAGCAACGTTTCGCAGCAGATCGATATCTCTACATAACAGTATTTGGCATTAATCGATTGAAATTCTCTTTGACTTAAATGATCGGTGAAAACCAATAGTGAAAATTGACCAATCGTGTGTGCGATCGCGAATAATTCAATCAATTGATGAAATTAATCGATTAATTGATATACAATCAATTCCATCGATCGATGAAATTATTCGTGATTTTATATATGACAATTGACTAGTTCGGATTATTGACTTGCCGATTGTTTTAGGCCTGTATTAATAGTCTTGAAATCGCTTGGAAGTCGCTTCAAAATTCGATGCTCGGGTTTGAATTCAGAGTTAGATGGCAGTTTTTCAGTTGAAACGCGCGATCAGAGATACAAATGTCAGACGCATCGTGTAATTCAGCTGAAGAACTTGGATGTAGTTCCGTGTGAAAATCTGAGTATCTCGCATGAGAGAGATTTCAAATGACGACTGCTGATACGGGCCCTAATCGAGTAACATTTCGATCGATCAATTCGCCCAACACTGCCATGTGGTGCGGCCGCGGAATTCAACGATCTTGCCGAGCGGATCGGGCACCGTCGCGATGGCGTCGTGCGGGGAGGTCGCGCCGAGGAGTCGCGCGCGTTTTCTCGATGGTATATTCGCGGAAGGCCACTTGGCGATTTGAATGTTACATACGCCCCGTGCACTACCAGCGCGCTCGTACACCAGCCAGGCAGAGCGGAACGGAGCGGAGCCCCATGGGCACACAATACGTTTTTGAAGCGTTGCAACGTTATTGTCGAGAGACTTGAAATTGCCGTATACTTTCGATGATTTGTTCGCTTACGTGCTTACCGTCTTTCGTTCGTCGTTTTGTGTCTTGTTTGACTTGGGTTTGAGACCGACAATGGCGAACGGGACACGCCTCTCGTTCAGACGAACGAGCGAGCGAGCGAGCGAGCGAGCGAGCGTCGCCGCGAGTTCCTCGCTCGGGTAGAGAGTAAAGAGTAACGTATATACTTTTGAGTTTTCACGATGTTATATATCTGATCCGGACTGGAGAGGGCAGAGAACATTATTGTACCATCAACTCTATAAAAACGACGTCATCCGATCATATTCAATCGATGTACAAACTGCGACTTCCGTCAACTCCAGATCATACGCGTACGACTTTCTTCATTCATGTCCCATATGTGATGACCATATATCATTCGCGATATATAATATATATACACACACGTGTATACACACGGAGCCGGCGACGCAGGTGCGCGCGATGAAAACAGCCGATACGTCGATTCGTCGCAGAGAGAAGCGCGAAGAGAAGCGCAGCCGGACAAGTACGCCGAGTACCGCTGACGGAACAAGCGTTCGTTTCATCACGACGTGTTAATCAACGCGATCGTACGGTTTCATCGCAGATGGAAACTCTAAATCAAATCACTGCCGCTGGAAGAGCCTTCGGCACTTTCCGGACTTGCCGATCTGCGAAATTTACCCCGCGATTACGCACGTGAGCTGTGCAAAGCGGCACGCTGCCGCGCGCACGACACAGTCGTAAAAAACAGCCCCGTGTGGCAGTGCGCGCGAATCGAGGCGACGTATCGCGGCTTTTCACGAGTGTACCCGCGCGCGCAATGATATACTCTCGTGCTAGATTTTTTATGGAGAGTTCGTTGCACCGTTTCGCGAGAGAGAGCGAAGGGGCCGCCGATCGTAATGCGTACGTTGAACGGCGCGAGCGCGCCCGGGAAACCCACGCCGAACCGCCTACGCGCTCGTAAAATCGCGCCGACGTGGCTCATCTTGATTTTCTTCTCGACTAAATACAAGTGCCCGCGTTATGCGTCTTCACGACTCGCCGCGGCCCCTTCGAACGACGAGCTCGTCGCTTTACGTACGTTCGCGTTTTTTCACCGACGTAAAACGAGAAAAACCGGGAGGGGAGAGGAAGAAAGAGAGAAAGATTGATTTATTTAATGCGCTCTGGGACGCATTATATCCCCTCAAGCGCTAAATTCTAATTAATTATAATAAATTATTACAAAACATGACTAAAAAATACAAGACACTTTAGAAAAATACATGAACAAATTTGAAAGTATGTTTAAAAAAAAAGATATGAAAGAGAAAGAGAAAGCACGATTAATGTCATTGTAATATTGCTTTCTTTAATATTTCATACATTGAAAAAAATATCGAAAAAATAAAACACATTTATTTACGGTGTGAGTATTAAAAAGATATTTATATATATGCCAATACGTAAAATATATTTTTCAGAGATAAGAAAATATATATTTTTTTTAAGTTTTTTAGCTTTTTACGAAAGCAATTATTTTTGTTCTATTTGAATAAATAAATTTAGACTCAAGTAGATTTTTTATCGGTATTCACCAAATAATGTTTTTATTCCTCAGTTATTTTTCCTTCTCTCAGCGTATGTACATTTGGGATTTACGCTTTAGGGATTTGTTTCGGTACGCTGGATAAACAAAGCTTTAATAGTAATAACAATTCCGCGACCTGTAAGTAAAAGGAGAAGGAACGTATCTCTCGCGTCGGCCGTCTCCTTTTGTTTTCAGGTCACGGAACGACACCGGGGAGTCATCGAACGAAATTGATCTTTAGAAGCGCGACGGACACTGTATCGTGCTCGATTGCGGAAAGTCGAGTACGAGAACCGGCGAATACGCGCGCGTGCAGCTGAGAGTCTTCGCGAAATCGTAGAGACCGAAGAGTGATCTCAGCTGGCTCTTTCTCTCTTTTCCCCTTTTTCTCTCTTCTTCTCACTCGCCGATATAGCGATCGAAAATCATGTCTCGTTTATGGAAATCCGCATCCCCGGCGTTTGCTCAGAGGCAGCACGCGTTTCTTTCGGTGCATTAATATCCGCAGATACAATTTCCCCGAGGGAATGTCGAATTACTCGCACGGTCCTCCCATGAACGACGAGCTCGTCCATCACGAAACAATGCGGGGTAGTGCACTTTCCCACTTCTATCTCGGCGGCGGAAAATTGAAAAAACATGTCTCTGTCTCTCTAACCTCTGGTGCCTTGCATGTGTCGTTGACGCACGCGGTACTGGCGGATTAATCGGAAGGGAAAACGCGTCGTGTTTGTGTATGCATGCGCGGGCACGTGTCTGTGTCTGCGTGCGTGCGTGAAACACGTGGGAGTGCCGCATAAAAATACGGTATTTCATCGATGCAATTACGTCGCGTAATTATACGTGACGCGGGCATCGAACGCCGTAAATTGCGACTCGCCGCGTGATTTGCGTTATCTTCCCGCGCGCGAGTACGGTAATAAAAACAGTTCGCCCGATGTGCACATCCTTCCGAACGATCCGACACCGCCGCGCTGCGAGCATGATCGTAGCTGTGTCGTAGGAAATTTTGCCAGTTAAATGATGTAACGGTATATAGCCTCCCTCAGCCTCCTCCTCCCACTCTTTCTTTTCCCTTTGTTGCCGTATCAGTCGCGTCCACTTGACTCGTCGCGTCGCCGCGAATTCGCGCTCTCGCGCTCGCACTTACCGCGCGGCCCGGCGAAATCAACGGTAAAATATCTCGCTAATCTACCGTAAGCTCGCCGACGCGAGAGATATCATCCCGCCGGCCGGTTGGTTTCGTGTGTGGCGAAATAAATCGACTAAAATTAAAACGACGTGTGCGCCGACCCGAGAGAGAGAGAGAGAGAGAGAGAGAGAGAGAGAGAGAGAGAAAGACTAAACGAGCGACCGCGTGAGTAATACATGCTCGCACCGGCGCGTATAGACGAGTGATGCGTGAATGAAACTGTACCGTTACGTAAAACATTAAGGCGCGCTTTTAAATGCATAATTAAAACCACGGCCTCAGATCAGACGCAGACGCGCGGCCCGCCAACTGCGGATTTCGTCTCCGAGTCATCGCATTGCGTCGCCCGAAACGCATTAACCGTGAATTCAATATTGACTCCGCAAACCTACCATCGTCCCGTAATTAATTAATCGATCAATCGGCCGCACGGGACAATACAGTGATCGCCGCAACGGCAATCGCTTGCGCTCACGCCCGACGTAGTCTTAAGCTGTCGTCACACCCGAACACACGCGAGCATCGACCACGCATGCCCGATGTGCTATCATTCTGCGTCATCCAGACGCATCTCATCCCACGACCCTGTGCACCATTCTGTACGTGTTCGAGTGTGAACGTAGCTTTATGACG